ATCTGGGCTCTATATCCCTTCTCCCTCCCTCTGGTGTGGCATGGATCATTTAGGACTCAAAAGTCCCACATTATCTGCCATTAGTAGGCTCCCTTGATGTGCACCAATCACAGTCAGCATGTAGAACCTGGGGTCTGATGGTGGGAGGGGCTAAGACTCTGCATTCCTGACCAGCTCTTAGAGCTGTCACAGCTGCCAGGACACGTGGAACCCTTGGTCACCAGAATCCTGACAGCCTTTCCCTCCAAGACAGTGCGCAACCAACCCAGGTGCACCCACAGCCATGTAAGCACATTTTTGTTAATGCAATCACATTTAAGGGCTAAGGAAGAGGACTGTTTAATGGAGTCCAACAGCAATCCTGTGACAGTGCAAATAAACCCAGTCTCCTCCAGCATGAGGTACAGCTGCCCCTTCTGGAAAACACGGCAAGGGCACTTGCTCTGGACACCATGAGGGCAAAAGGAGCAGAGGAAACACCTTCATGGTGAGCAGCAATGGCCATGTTCAAACAGGGCTGGCCTCTGTTCTAGGGATGTACCATGTACTCTCACCCACTGAGGGTGGTGTCACCTTCCTAACAATGACATGGTTTTGAAGTGGGAATTGTTTCAGATTTCTCAGGAGCCTAGGTCTGTTCCTTGCCCCTCCATACTTCCTGCTCCCAAGTGCCTGGCTCCTCGGGAGGCAGCATAGGGGCTGGGCTCTGGTGACTAATCAAGCCATAGCCCCACTGCTCCAGGCTGCTTCAATCAGGGCACCGGCGGGAAGCCTTATTAGCTGTGCCAGTGTTGCAGCTTGCCGAGTGGCCAGAGCAGCCTCTCTCTGGAGGGTCACGAGGCAGTTCCACACATGAAGTGCATTTATGTGCGCTTATTGACAAAGAACCACACTGGCATTTCACTTGATCCTGGCCAAGACTGCAAAAAGGGTTGAGTCTCAGCTCCTGGGGTGGGGGGTGGTCAATCCTTAGCTCAGGTGTGACCAGTTCCCCACTCACCTGCCTCTGGGCAGTGGAGGCAGAGGAATGGAGATCGGACCCCCAAGGTCAGTCAGCCTGTCTCTAGCAGGGGCTATGGCTTTTGGCTAGCCCACCTCCTCCACCTTCCTCTTGAGTGAAAACAGGTTCACAGAGGCCACAGGACAGCTCATGGGGATGGGGCACTCCACAGCCTTGGAAGACTTGGAGCCCAGCTATATGGCCACTAAGGCCTCCTTGATCCAGACAGCAAGCATAGTCCTATAACGCAAAACAAACATGAGCCCCAGAGCGTAGTTGTCTGGGCCTGGATCCTGGGAATGCCACTGGCCAACGGTGCAACCTTGGGCAAGCTGCTTCTTGTTTCTCTGTACTTACCTGCCTGTCTGTAAAATGGAGAGAACAATGAGCACAGATGCTAGAGTGTGCGTGAAAATGAAATGTATAAACCCAGATGTTTCAGAGTATACCGTGTGCATCCCCAAATGTCAGCTTTGGGGGAGATCCATGTGGGAGATGTCATGAGAGGTCTTTTTGGCCATTCCCTTGCCATCACACCCTGGAGATGACCTCCCTAAAGGCAGGGCCTTAGGGGAGTGCAGGGAGGGATCCCAGCCCTAAGCAGACACGAGCACTCATGCCTACCTGCTGCTGGTGCAGAAGGGTCCTCATTTTAGAAATGCCAGGAGCCAACTAAATCGGCTCCTGCTAGTCTCATGGTCAGGCTGTCTCTCAGGGAAGCCTTCCTTCAGCTCATAGCTCCCAGATGGGTGGCTCATATGCGAGGCACGTATGTCTTAGCCACAAGACCTGGAATCAAGTCCTGTCTATGACTGATCAGGGTAAGACCTTTTGTGTGTCTGTGAACACGAGGAAATCACAGCCCCAGGCATGCGGAAGCGATGGTAGTGGTGGAAAGGTGATTGCCATGAGCCAGGACCCACAAGCGAGAATGTGAGGTCATCACACCTCCCAGCTTCTCAGCACAGGCTCTTGTGGACGGACGGTCCAATAATGCTGCTCTGGGTCTTGCCTTCACATTCTGCCCATAGTACATTTAGTTCCTTTTCCTTGGTTTTCTGAAGGAGAGACCAGAATGGGAGGATCCAAACCATTCAGGGTTCAGACTTTTCTGCCAGCTCCCTCCACATTCTGTCCCTCTTCCAAGGGGAGCAGGCTGGAGGAGGATTTCTGAGTCACAGCAGTGTGGCCAACAGCCAGAGCTAACTAACATTTCTCGAGTCTCTGCCCTGTGGCAGGCATCGTGCGAGACTCTGGCATCTCATCCCATCTCCAACAGCCCAGTGAGGCAACACATAATCAGCGATTTAGGTCAGACCACCTTCCAGGGATTCTAAATTCCTTCCTGTGGAGTTCATTACCAGGAGGCTGGGCTGGAAACCTGGTCCACACCTCCAAAGCTCGATGACCCAGCTGCCACGTCCCTTCCCCCCAACACCGTCTCCTTCTTTCCACCTACTTCCACTGTCACTAGGTTCCATATTCCCAACACAGAAACCCTCATAGTACAAATGCAGGTGCTTGCACTTGCAACAATAACCTCAAACCTGGGTGGAAGAATAGGTGACAAATGGGAAACAACAGAACAAGGCTGCACCCCTCTTTACATTCTTTCTGAAACCCTACCCTTGCACAGCTCCCAGCATCGAGCATCCGGACTGTCCCCTCCTAGGCTTAAGCTCACATATCTGTCCACACTGGGCATATGGCAGCCACCAGGCTTGGGACCAGCCTTCACGCCCCCCTTCATGCTTTTTTAGCTCCCAGAGCCTCAAGTTCCTCACTGGAGCTGTGTGGAGTTGTATCTTAGGCTTGTTTGAAAGCCCAGAGATAGCGAAGGGCCGTACAAGGGTCTGCAAGGTGGCACACAACACTGTCTCCTGCCAGTTTGCATTGGGCCTTTCTTGATGAGCTGTTACACCCTGGCAGGGCAGAAAGAACATGTGTCAGCACACTCTGCCTAAGATGAACAAGGTGTCCAGGCACTGGACACAGTGGTAAAATTGTAAAAATTGAAAATGGTAACCTACAGAGAGAGAGGAAGAGAGAGAGAGAGAGAGAGAGAGAGAGAAAGACTTCCATTTGGAGGACAGAGAAAGCATAGGAGGGGGACCTGTGTTATCTCTGCACTGTCTTAATGCCTGTGTTGGCAATGCCAACATACAGCATGCACAGAAAGGACACTTTCATTTCAGATGCATATGATGCCTAGGAACAATATGAACAATATTATTTTAGTGCCCTGGGAAAAAAATTAGCAAGTCAAATATTGAGTCAGGCCTGTAGCACACATGCTAAGTAGATTGCTCTGATCTTATCCACACTAAAAGCTCTATTACTGAATTTGAAGTTGTTGAATACATATCAGTCCCATATACAATGCATATCTGAATGAGTGGTGATGGTGGGACAAAAGGGAGCAAATATCAAAGTTACAGCTAAGACTGAAACACAATTTTGCCCTCCCATTTTCTTGGGACTGACTTGAGGCCCTTGCAAACCAACCACAAGGTTTTTGCTGCTTAGAACCCACTGGGGGCTTCAGAAACACCTGCTATGCTTTCACTTTCCTGGAACCAAACCCCCCTAGGCTAAACTTGTAGACTGGAGTTGGGTACTTCTAGCCAGTAGGCAGGTGCTGCACCTGCCATGATGCCCTCTGGTGGCCATCCTTCCCATAAACTACCACCCTCTGTCACAGGTCACTAGCAGGAAAAAGAACTTTGGGGGCCAGGGGGAGGGTAGGAAGGTGTGAGGCCAGGAAATTTACCCAAAGTTGGGAGTGCTGCTGACCCAACATGCTCAAAGACAAACTGCTTGATAGGTCAACTTTCTATTTAGGACACACTCCTTAAAAACCAAACGTGGGGCTCAGCATGATGGCGTAATGGTTAAGGTCCTCGCCTTGCACGCACCGGGATCCCATATGGGCGCCGGTTCTAATCCTGGCAGCTCCACTTCCCATCCAGCTCCCTGCCTGTGGCCTGGGAAAGCAGTCAAGGACGGCCCAATGCTTTGGGATCCTGCACCCACGTGGGAGACCTGGAAGAGCTCTTGGCTCCTGGTTTCGGATTAGCACAGCTCCAGCCATTGCAGTCACTTGGGGAGTGAATCATTGGATGGAAGATCTTCCTCTCTATCTCTCCTCCTCTCTGTATATCCACCTTTCCAATAAAAAAAAAAAACCAAAAAACAAATGTGGGTATATGTGGGTATGTGTGTTGGGATGGGGTGGGGAGGGAGTGTTATTCAGTCAGAGGTTCAGGCACCTCTTGGCATGCCTGCAACCCTTATCTGAGTGCCTGGGTTCAAGTCCTGGCCATATTCCTAATTCAGCTTCCAGCTAACGTACACCCCAGGAGTCAGCAGGTGATAAATGGTTCAAGTGATTGGGTCCTTGCCACCCATGTGGAGTCAAAGATGGAATTCTGGGCTCCCAGCGGTAGCCTGGCCCAGTCTCTGGGGAGTGAAGCAGCAGCTGGATATCTGTCTGTCCATCTCTCTTTCAAATAAAAATAAAAACCCAAACTTTGAAAGCACTTCCTATACTAGCTGTCAGCAAACTCTAACCCTGAGACTACATGAGCCCTGTTGCTTATTAGTAAGTTCAAGAGTTGAAATGGATTTTACATTTTTAAAATGGCTAACAAATATTTTATGAAACAGGAACACTGTAAGAAATCCACACTTTAATGACTACAAACAAGGCATTAAGGCAACACTGCCTGACATGACAGGCCATGGGTCCTTTCAGGCCACAGCAGAGCTGAGCAACGCTAACAGCCCCTGGGGATGTCCAAAAGGCTGAACCTGCCTGCTGCCTCCAGACCGAGTAAGCCGACCACACTGACTCTACCTTTTGCAGGTGGAAGGTTGCAATTCTGGTTGTCTGCCTCCCAACCCCCACTGTACGTTTTGCTTCACCCTCCGGTCACTATCATGACCATGGTCATTTGCAAGACCGGGTGTCCCACTGCAATGTCCCTTCCCCAAGACTTACCATTTTATTATTGATTTCATGGAAATGAATCTCACAGACTTTCTCCACCACATCTTCATTCTCAAAAGTGACAAAGCCGAACCCTAAAGCAAACAGGGAGAGGAGAGAACAGAGAGGAGGGGTGAGTGCAGATACTGTGGGTCCCACGTTTCCTCCCCAGTCCTGCAGCCTTCCCAGGCCTCTGGGGAAAAGGGTAGGTGGGTGGAACCTGAGAGGCCCTAGAGGTGGAGGCAACGATTTTTCATTTGTACCCAGCACCCTTCTAACAGTGAAGTAAAGCTAATGAGCATGCCCACATGCGGTGGGCACTGCACAGCTGATATGTGCCCAGAAGCAAACAACAAATCTACTTGTCTGTTACAGACAAGACCCAGAGCTTGGGGAGGCAGGTGGGCTGGTTCTTCCCTGCAGGGCCCTTCTCGACAGCCCTCAGGTTGGCCTCCGGAGCGAGGTCGTGGTTTGTCTCTTTTCTTCCTGAATTACTTCCTCTAATACCTCATCAGGACATCCTGAGGCCCAGCAGAAACTATTAAAAGTTGCAGGCCTCTGTTCTGTGCGGGCATCCTTTTTCCACTGCTGCTTCAAAAGCACTGTGGATTTGGGGCAGTTTAAGACCATTTCAAGCATGCTGTCAGCCCGTCAGCTATCCACTGTATTTACGCGGCTGGAGATTGGCTGTGCTGGATGAGCCACGGTGAAGGATTTCGGCAGGCAGCTGCAGCTCAGCATCCCAATCGCCACTCCCTACTCTCCTGCCCCTGCCTTTATTCTTCTCCTGCCCCCGACGACATCTGCAGCAGGAGGTCCCATCTGTGACCTCTGCTCTACAAGCCCTGCTACACCATGAGGACCCCCCACTCAGGAGCAAGCGCCCTGCTGGGAGGAACTTAGTGCAGTCAGTACTGATGTGGCAGCAACACAGGCCATGGTGTGGATGCACTGATGAGGCAGAAGCACTGGGTTTCAGTTCTGTCTGTGTACCTGATTTATTGGCAATCCTAGGGAGTCCTGTCCCTCTCTGAGTCTCTACTTTTGCACCTGCCAGTTAAGACAGTGAGGCTGGACACTGGGTCATACATTTTGGGTTTTAACCCAAATCAGGATTTGCAAGGCTCTCTTCTATGCACTGAGTGTATGAGTATGTTAAAATTATCACTCCCAATGTGATGCTAACAAGAGGTAGGGCAGTGATTAGATTTGAAAGACAGAGGATGATCTAGTCCCCTCTTGTGAAAAGACTTAAGGAGTGTCAGTTTTCCTCATTCACAATGGGAAGGCAGCTGTCTGCACCCAGGAACGGAGGGAGCCCTCAGCCAGAACTGACTATGCTAGAACTCTGACCTCAGCTTTCCAGTCTACAGAATGTGAGGGGTGAACTTGTATTGTTCCAAAGCTGTAACACTTAGCTTGGTGGCCCTGATGACTAAGAAGACACACTCTTTTCCCCAGAGATGTAAACGGGAGGAACCCAGAGCTGGGCACACAGAGTGCAAACACCAACACTGAGTCACAGTCACTCCCACTGGCTGCACCTGTGTTGGTGCAACCAGACCAGGTCTCCACAAGGAGTCTCAGCCAGAGGATGCTCTGGGGGCCAGGGGGAGGAGAGGGAGACCCTGTCTGCCCTCATCCCCACCCTTGTCTGTAGGCTATGGGTAACTTAGGGTCCTCACCTATTTTTGAAGGCCATTTATCTGGTCTAGTCCCAAACCTCATTATCTTTCCAATAAAACAAGTCAGACTAGGCCCCTTTATAGGGGATCTTGCTGTTAATTAGGGCAAGCACGCAGGGTCAATAGTGGTCTTCCAAGCACATACCCATGTCCTAACCCACAGAACCAATAACTGTGACCTTATTTGGAAAGCGGTATTTGCAAGTGTAATTAAGTTAAGGAGAGATTATCTGGAGATTAAGGTGGATTTAATGATAAATGTCTGTATAAGAGAAAGGAAAGGGAAATTTAACAGAGAGAAACACAAGGAGGCCATGAGAAGAAAGGCAGATGGACTGCAATCCTGCAGCCATAATCCAAGGCCACTGGAAGCTAGACAAAAAAAATTGTCCCCAGAAACTCCTGGAGGAGGGGAACAATATGCATCGTTTCAAGGCATTAGGCTTATTATCTGCTGTAGCAGATGCAGGACACTAAGACAGTGGGGTTGTAGGTGTCTGCTGTCCACAGCAGTGGCCCTCACACTACCTCCTCCTTCCAGGCCTGCTGATTCAGTCACTGAAGACCTTCTCTGGTCTGAAGGCAGCCAAGTGCAGACAGATGAACAAAATCTAGCGTGACTCCTGGGATAGCATGGCAAGTCAGAGTCAGAGAAGGACAACCTCTCCAGGGGCCAGGGATAGTGCTGCAAAGCAGATACCCTGGGGCCTGGAATCAAGGCTGAGCTGCTCTCGGCTGCTACCCAACTCCTTCCTACGTCCAGTGTCAATCGCCATCTTCACGCCCAACTCCATTCACTTAGGACTCTGCCGCCCCAAATTCCCACCCTGGGCCTCTCTGCAGACAGCAGGAAGCCCAGCCCAGCCCAGCCCAGCCTAGCCAGCAGACAGGCATTAAAATGCAGACTGTCAAACGGAGTAGGGCGGGGGTGGGACTCCACGCAGCAGCTGAGTCTCTGATGTTCTCTCCGCTGGTCCCTTCCCTTAACCCCACAGGACTCAAAATACAAGGATCACAAAAATCATTTTTTTGATTAAAAGAGATAGCCTGGATTTCAGGCCCATGTACTCTGGCTGCATAACAATTTGGCAATGCCAAGGCTCATTTGCAAATTTTTAAAGATCTATATCGTTACCACATCCCTATCTGTTTGGTCTGAACACAGCAAACAAACTTGGTTATGTCTAAAATATTTATCTATTCCATTTTGGGAAAGCAAAGAGGCAATGAAACAATTATCAATAAGTGTTATTCCTTAACATATAATCATCTTTATCTCACAGGTACATTATCATTTACAAAGGGTGAGTGACTCACTGGTAAGCAACACCCTGAATAAATCCAGGAGCAAAGGACAAAATCCCAGGGGCAGAAATGGGGTGGAGGTGGGTGAAGCATCATTGTTATTTTTCTTCATTAACTGTTCGTTGTTTTATTGCACCAGATTACACATGAATATAAACTTGAGCAGCTCTCAGCATCTAGGACGGTAGCATCAGGTATCCCTTACAATGTCATCCACTCCCTGTCTCCTGGACTTTTCTATCAGCTCCAACCGAAACTTGGTGCCCACCGAGACCTGGTGCCCCACCTCTCACTCCCAGGTCCTGCAGCCACTGTGCTGCTTTCTGTCTGCGTGAACTCCCCATGCCAGACCCAGGCACTCGTCCCTTGGCATGTGGCTCTTCTCACTTAGGCACCCCAGTCCTGGGAATGAACTGCTCCATGTGCAGCCTTGGGTGGGCTGGGGCAGAAGGTGATGTTTATTCCCCCACCACCATATTTTCCTTGAGCGGTCCCACCAAGAATCAGAAGCGGATTTCTTGGAGGTTCATCCCACATAGGCATGGCAACACGCAGCCCTCCTCATTCATAAGCATGGACTTGAACAACAAGCCACAGGTCCTTGCAAGCTGCCCTGGCTTCTCCAGGCCTTGCATGGCAGACAGAACGAAGGGATCTTGCTCAGGTGCCAGCTGGGGTGAGAATGTGCACTCCATCTGAGCCCTTGTTTGTGTGTATGGAGGCACCTGTGACCCCTTTTTCTGTTTCTTTTCTCTAGTCTGAAGGTACCTTTTGGAGCCAGAGCCCTCCTCAATAGGTACTCAGATCCACTCAAGCTACTACTCAGAATAGCGAGGAAGTCCAGGTCAGACAACTGGAGGTAGAAGAGCTGGTGTGGTAAATGGACAAAACTTGTTGGAGGAGGGCGGCCAATAGGACAATCTACCCACGAACCCTTTCTCGACTGACACCAGCAAAGTAACATTGACCAGCTTCCCCTGAACCCCCCACTTGCAAGGGGCTCCAGGAACCAGCAGAAGCAGGACAAAGAAGGTATCAGGGAAATTAACCTCAAACACAAAGGGGTTTAAAAACTGATGCAAATCAGAAATAGGGGAACAACTGGTAGGGAGCATTTAAAAGAGAAATCCTCTTGAATGATTACAAGTAAACCCTGACTAAGAGATAAGCACCGAATGGTCACACCTTTTCCTCTCATTCAAATGAACACAAACTGAATATTTATGTCAATACTACAGAGTTACACACGCGCGCTCACACACACACACACACACATGAAACCTCTAAATAAAGATAGTTCAAAGGTTTAAAAAAAAAAAAAGCAGGCTCCAAACCCCTGTAAAAAGCTCTATTTCACAGTTCTTATACTTCTAAAGGCTAGGAAGAGAAGAGGACTAGCCCCTCATAGCCTCTACACTAATGTGCTTTCCTATCATAGAGGCCAATGAACTAGAGGCTATTGCACAGGGCTGAACACCTCTTCAGTAAAAATCAATCCAACGTAGGAGTCAACATACTTGGTTAACAGAGGGGGAAAAAAGGAAGAAAAAGACTGTCAACTTTATTCTAAGCATCCCAGCAGGAATTTAAGGAATGTGTACGTATGAATACTTGTAACTCATGTAACTTCCCTTCATGGCTAATAATCCAGTATTGGGGAGGGAATACAGCAGTATCCAGGAACTGCTTCCAGCATCAACCCCTTGGGTCTGGGAGTAGCGAGCAACATTTCAGTTTCTTAGGTGCTCCCCTACCCAATCTCCTTGAATCTAGGGCTGTACTTGCACATGACTCCACCTTATTCTTCTGGAGCAGGTTGTCAGGGTCTCCCTGGGTTCAATACGGATTCAAAGACAACTCAGTGGTCCTGTGATTCATGAGCAGGGTGAGCCTGGGCAGTGAGGCTTGGTGGTCTGTGTGCTCCATCCCAAAGAATCAACCCCAGGCAACTGTGTGTGTGTGTCAACATTTTACCTCATGTTGCTCCTCCATCCTTGGACTTGCAGTGTGGTGCAGCAAGTTAATTGTCACTTGCCACACTGGCACACCAAGGAACTTTGGCTCAAGTTCTGGTTGCTTTGATTCCCACCCAGTATCCTGCCAAT